AATGTCAGTCTCCTGGTTGGTTTTCCGAACCGTGACTCTCTGAACCTCTGAGTCACTGTCCTCATCAAAGACCGTCGATATGAAAAGGTCGGGTTCTCAGTCGCACAGGTTTGTAACATGTTGTCGTTATTTCAGAAGAGGACTTAGACACAGGAGAGTGTACGCAGGCTTTGCAGGTAATAGTACAACCACAACACGTACATGACGTAGTAGAAGTACATGTGAAGTGGGTGGAGCCCGACCAATATTTCAGTTGGCCGATAGCATGAGCTTTCACAGCTGCAGCGTTTGTACTTGCAGATATGAAAACTACAGAATATTAAACAGTTCACATGCAATGATGTTTGTAACGTATGTTCAGTCTTTGTATGTTTCATTGCATATTCTTTTTTTATTTATAGTCATTTATAATAAAGTTGATGTTTAACTTCGGCCAATAGAGAACGATCGTTCAATCAAAACAATAACGAGAGACTTATGATGTCATAAAGCAGCGTGGGATCATGGGAATTGTTGTCTTCGACATTCATTACTTGAAACATAATCTTCTTGGAAGATTGGAAACAGTGTTGAGTTTGTTTGTTGACATTTTAATAAAGTATTGCTTCATATTATATCTTTAAATGAATCGATTAATCAATTATCTCAACATTTCTTTGCCTTAAAAGTTTGATAATCTATTGGTATCAGCCTTGGCCCCTAAAGAATCCACATTAGCAGAATCAAGTTGAGGATTTGTGATGTGAGGTTCAGGCAGGAAGTTGGGAGGATGCAGTCGAGGCTGGAAATTGTTGATAAGAACGTCCAGAACTGATTTGCAAAATGTGCGTCTGAGCCAGTGAGAATGTTTTCTAATTGATTGGTAATGGCTCCATTCTGCTGCTACGACATCGGATCCTTTGTCATCTCGTGTTCTCCAGCTGACAAACACTCCGCTGGTCCAAATCTTTATCTTGACAAGCAGTGAGTGTCTGCAGCTGAAGTTTGCAGTCAGCATTGATACACATGATGCACATGAAAGAAACATTCAGATTATTAGAAATAAGAAGGGAGGGATGTCATGGAGCTGTGGAGGAGCTCTGTGAGGTCGGAGGATTTCTGGGGGTGTGAAGATGTGGAGAAGCTTCTACAGATACTGAAACAGTGGAGAACAGCTGGATCAGCTCCACTAACTTTAAAGAAGACACACAATTCTTTCCTCCAGTGTGTTTTTTGTGTGTAAAAGTTCTGCAGACCCGTTTATGGCCCCCTACCAAAGCCATAGCTTCAATGTACAACCCAGTTCTGATTGACAAGGCTTTCGTAATTCAAATAATGTGTTTTCTACAAAGAAAAACAGCAGAACAGCTCTTTACTAGAGTAGTTTTATGTTAATCACAGAGACAAGAGGCCGGCGAGGTAGGAAGGTCTGGGAGGATGAGATGGTAGAAGAGTGAAGTAATGAAGGGGTGAGACAAACGCTGAGAGATGAGAAGTGTGACTGAAGAGGGATGTAAGGAGTGAGGACGTGAGATGGACAGAAGATGGAGGGATGACGGATGATAGTGAAAGGAAAGGTGAGAAGGAGAGAACCAATGGGAAGAGAGGAAGCAGATGTGCGTGTGGCCCTGACCGAGCGAAGCCATTTGTAATTCGACCAGGATGTTAATGAGGAGGAGGCTCGAGGAGTAAGTGAGAGGGTGATGAATCAGAGCCGGCTGCCACCCCTGATCTTTTATCTCTTCTCTGACAGGCAGCGTCAAAGTGCAGCATGCCGGCCTCAAGGCCCAACAATCTATTACAACCCCACCTTCATTATGATCGATCCACCGGGAATCATGGGGAAGAGGTGGCGCACCACAAATGCAGTTACTGTAAAGGGCGAGGACAGTTTTAGGTTTCAGCTCCGCTCCGACGGTGTTGCTGTTGATCTGCACGGAGCAGAATGGTTCTGGCTGCAGAACTCGGGCTTGTTTGCGTTTCTTTAAATCCGTCACAATCATCTGGGGCGAAGCTGAGCTGCAGGCGTCACTCGGATAAACCACAATCAAGCAAACAAGCAAGTGGTTGTTGTTCGTACTATGAGATATAATCCTGGTGGTGCCTCGGGAACATTTGTGGAGGTGATCTTTCTTCAGACATGACACCTTCACCCACTGACACAGGCTGTTCCTGTAATCCACTGCCCGAGTCTCGGACCCGTCTCGATGGTGAGATGGTGGCGCCGGTGCAGGATCTGATGATCCAGAGCAAAACATTCCCCTCTGCACGTGTTCGAGGGGAATGTTGGAGGAGTTTACCCCTCAACAGATTTATCTGGTTTGGACTTGGCTCAGACTTAATTGGAAGTTCCAACATTCACAGCCAGGATGATGCATCACACCCAAACAGCCCGACAGAGCGCGGCAGCGGAGGGGCGGCTTGATCTCTCGGAGAAAATGAACGTCTGTCTTCTCTGGCAGTGCTCGCTGACAGAGAGACTCGCTGGTTTCTGTTTGGTCGATGTTCTTTGTTTGTCACTGCTGGTTTTGATCTCTTCTCCTCGATACTTTATTTTAACTCTATTTCTGTCGGTCTTTCCAAATCTGTTTTCTCTGCTGCTCTCAGCCTCACGGACAAATCTAATGTTGTCTCCATAGTTTCTCTCCCTCTCGTGTCCTGCACCCCACCCCCCCTCTGTCTTGTTTGAGCTCTGACTGCCATATAATCATTGAAGACGTTAGAGGGTGCTTGGGGAGGTTTATGGAGTATTTAGCATCAGCGAGGGGCTCTCACTTTTAATTTTCTTTTGTTTATCTGTTGTCTGGTAGCTTTAGCACAGCCTGGACTTAATGCCTGAGCCTAAATGAGAGTGTTTATGTCTTGGAGTCTGGAGTTTTGTTGGCTAAAGCCCCCATGGTGATTTTCATTCTGTCAAGACAGTGCATGTCTGAGTTTTAACAGTCTGTGTGTGTGTGTGCGTGTGTGTGTGATTTAAACAGCTCTGCTCCACGCTCAGAGGCCACAGTGGGGTCAGACATTCTGCTGACGGGATGTGTTTACCCCATTTAAAACAAATCTGCAGATGGTTATTTATTCTCATATACATCCAATTCCAGCGCCGCTGGTTCTGGGTGAATCCGAATAAATGTGAAGTTAAAAAATATGGAATGTGAGGAGCTTTTAAACTCAAAGGATTTGTCTCACCTCCTCCGACCCGCTGACGGGAGGCGGGCAGGAGTCGGGGTAAATGCAGCGGGGACAATGTTTGGAAACTGTTGTCACTGTTGTTTAGCGTTTTTGTATATTTTCAGTTTACACAGCTCTTTATGCGCTCGGTGCATTTTGCAAAACCAAACCAAACCTCAGCACAAACGTCGACTCGAAAACATCCCAACATTAGTTCAGGTACATGGTAAAGAAGCTTGTTAAACTGCAGTCACGCAGCTTCTCTCCGCCGCTGAAGTCCCTCCGTTGTGCCTCGAGCGGATAAATTCACTTTTAGACTTTAGATTTATGAAGCTGCTGAAAGTGGATGATGACTTTTGCTTTTTCTTTCCACCTGCACCGGACAGAGTTTTTTACTTTTAACATGTTCACTGAAGAAAACTGAAGATGAGAAACCGGACGACACAGACGTCCACTGACTGACGTTGCTTTCTTTTTGTTTTGAAGTTACACGGATAACGTGTCTCGTGTTGTTTTTGAGTGTGACCTGCACCCTGATCTGCAGAGTGCGGCCTTTCGTTCCCATGTTTGCTGTTACGTGTCCTGTGGAAGCAATGCAGCTGAATCTGAAGCATTGTGGGTAATATACTGACTACGTGCCCTATGTCCGCCTCTTCAACAGCCCTCTCTATATGTGCCTGTGTCCTTCAGGGTGTTCACGAGCTGCGACTGGTCTCCTCTGACCACTGACTCTCACGATGTGCCTGATTATACATTAAACCTGAGGTGATTGATGAGGTGTCGGAGTTTCACCTGAAAACAACAACGAGTGAATCGTTTGTCTTGACCAAGGACATCTTGACACAGAGACTTAGCCGGGAATCGAACCAACAAGCTTCCAGTCAGAGACTGAGCCACAGTTTTTGTTTGTGGTTATGAATGTGCAGTGTTGCTGTGAATAACTTGGTACAATCCTCCAGACACCAGGTTGATACCTAAACTGTTGTTGGTTGTTGAAAAGTCGCCATGAGTCCGTTAAATCACGCCGTCACATGGCTTCACTGAGGCGTAGATACCCCTCTCCCCTCCCCCAACACTCGGGAGGATTCACCAGCTCTGACAAACACCCACAGTTTAAACCATCCAATTATTTCTCCTCCTTCTGCAGCACTGGTATCTCTTCATAGACAAAGATAACTCACCACAGGTGTCTGGGACAGGGCTGTAATTCCCAACCTCATACTTTCATTTCTGTGGTTAAACGGAGCAAATAGAAGAGTAAACACACTCCCACAGCCCCTCGCTCTGCCAGCCCGTCCTGGATAATATCCTCAAAAGAAGCTGCCAAATTAATCAGATCTCCTCCTCCTTCCTGGAGAGGCCCGACGCTGGGGGAGACACCTGATGTAATCACTCGTATGAGAGAGAGTCCACTTCATGCCATGGTGGGGGAGGGGGAGGGGGGGCAGCAAACGTTTATCATATCACACACACACAAATCCGCACACGCACAATGTTACGACACATTTCCCCCGACAGCTATGATGAGCCGAGCCGATTCATGCAGAAAATTGTTAGCAACCTCCCACCCCCACTTCAGCTCAAACTGATTTTTATCTCAGTTACATCCTCCTCACCCATCCCCCCCCCCCCRRCCTCCCTCCCTCCCTCCCTGTGTGTCCCCTCCCTCCTGCATCCCCTTCTCTTTTATCACTTAATGGTGGCTCTCTCCCGACGAGACGATGGACTGAGGGAAAATGAGACACACGACAGAGGAAGCTAGTTTGGAGCCACATATTCCACCACATCAATAAAAGAGATAAAATATTGAAATCACAAACTTTCGAGCTTCATCCTGACGCTGCAGGAACAAGATGCCGGCACAGACTGCGGAACGGGTCCAGATCTTCTCCATGTGGGAAAACATCCGCTCTCTGCATCGCAACCCGCCGAACCAGGCGGGAGGAGGCCGAGGCTGGGGAGCAGGTTCGTGTCGACCTCCTGCCAAACCAAAGATGTTTAACCACGGTTACACGGACGCAACCAGCCGTGTCGTGAACGTTACTGTTCACATATTTGCTTATGTACTTTGCGTGTTACTGAAGGATTCCAAACAGGCAATGAGCGTGTATCGCACAGAAACAACATTTTATCGCTTCGTACCAATGAGTTCAAACAGTCAGTGTACGGACGAGAGACTTTAGAACGAAGAAGCAGGAGAAAAAGTTTGAATCTGCTTCTTTTCAAACCAGAGAACCACAGAAGAATTCTCACTCTGAATAAAAAAACCTCAAGTGTAACGTAGTCTTATAACGTCTTCTTTCTCTCCAGGCTTCAGATCTCTCTCCGCAGAGTGAAGGTCCGTCCGAGTTGAGATGTTGTTTGTCACCATTTACATAAAGACACCGTGAGGAGGCTTGTCTCTCTGTGAACGCTGGAGGAGAAGCTCATAAAAGCTTATAAGTTCAAACATAAACTCGGGTGGTGTCCGTTCCTCTGTTGTGATTAAACCGTGTAAACAGTTTTAACATCATAATAAAAAGTTCAAGCTGAAAGTTGTTGTATTTCCACTGTGACTGTATTTCCACATTCAGAATGGAGCTTGATGTGGAGATGGAGGAGAGAGGCTGCGGGGACAGTGATGACAAAGTGGATTACAATCACCAGGAGATTTGAGTGGAAAGCTGCTGACACACAGAATATCCTCTCCTTCCTTTTTTGTGCATCTCTGAATCTCCTCTCAGGCTCCGTTCACAGACTCTGGACACACGACAGGATCCCACTTATTGGGAATTGAACCTGAAAACACATGCTGGCTCTCCCAGATGAAATGCAAACGCTCAGAGGGCACAGAGCGGGGAGTTCGGCACAGAGACAGAAAACAGAAGCACATTTTCTTCTAAATAGAAGAACAAACAAAAGGCCAGTTGTCACAGTCGACAGCTTTGAGATTCTGCTTGTTGAATAAGTAAGAACAGCCACTTTAAACCACTTAGTCCAATCGCCAACCAATCAGGGAGGTGTGTTAACACGAAGACGCCCGGAGCGAATGATCTCGCCAGCTTCAATCTCACAGAAGATGGGACGCTGGGATTTTGTCTTTTCAATCTTTCTTCCCACGACGACACAGACAAACAAACGTTTGCTGCGTCTCGGAACAAAGCAGGTTGTTACGGGGTCGGTTGTTTACACGGTGTCTGCTCACACGAAGGAGCTGCTGGTGTTCTCCAGCTCTGAGAGGCTTCAGGTGTCACGAGGTTTTACTTCCCATCCAGTCGTCTCCGAGCGAGACAATGAAACGTACAGTGCTCCCTGTGCTTTGACGTCTGATGGAAGCTCTGAATTCAAGAGTTCAGTGAATTTTAGGGAAGAACAACAGGTGATGAAGGATATTTGCAGATGTGGTAGGAACCGATTTTTGCTCATCAGTAATAAATTAACTTTTATTTTTACACATTTCTTATTTTAAAAAAAATCTTTTCCACTTCCCACCATTTAGAAGCAGGACTCATGCTGCAGCCTAAAAAAGCTTCATCACTGGCTTCACCCTTTGATTCACATTTCCTATGTTACTTCATGACCGAGCGTTTGTTTGTTCATAAAGTTAGAAAGTAAAAATAGAAATAATGATCAAAAACAACATATTTAATGAAAACCTGGAATATTAAATGATCAAATACATTTATTTCAAATATTTAACAAACAACTCAGAAATAATAAATCCGTGAATGGATGGAGCGTGTGCGCGGACGACGGATGTTTGAGAAGTTTGAGAAGTTTCTACGTCTCACAGAAAACTTTGACGCCCATCAAGATACTGAAACATGCTGTCAAAGTAAAAGGTGATGGAGACGCTGGACGTCATTGACAGTGTTTTTACTTCCCTCGTAAAACTGCTGCACACAAACTCCCATTTCAGAGTTTCTTCTTCAGGTGTAGTTTTTTGCTTATTGTGTTATTTCGCTCTCTTGTGGGATCCGTGTGTATTTATAGCAACGATTTTTCTTGCAGCGAGCTTTAATGTTGGGCCTTTATCTGTGTGTTGCGTTCAGATAAAGCTGCGCTCATGAATACAGGAGGGGAAGCTCCAGCTTTGTTTTGCGCCTCTAAGCATCCGCCATCAATAACGCATGGTTTTCTGGGGCTAAGGATAATTGTTGTAATTCATCATCATTGCTGCAGAATAACATTAAAACAACAAAACAGTGAGCAGGCGGATATCCCACTGAAAGCAGATTGATGTCTGGTGACACTGGGTTCTCATTTTGGATAAATGTAAATAAGAGTTCCTTCCTGCAGAGAGTCCATCACATGCAGCTTTGAGTTTTCAGATCACATCAAACGTTCATTTGACTTTTCACCAAAGATGTTTCTGTCCTTTTTCTGACTTCTACATTTGAAGAAAGTTCATCTGCATGTTCCGAGTGTCATGACGAATAACAATCCTGATCCATCACGAGTGAGCAACACTTCAAGTGATGAAGAGTTTCTGCTTCATCGTAAGTTTAAACAGAGACGGAGTCAAGAGTGAAGAGGATGTGAAATCAGAAGACGACTTTAAAATTAAACATTGTGGTAACTTTCATAAAACTGTGGATTAATCATTCTCATGGAAACATGTTGGATAATCATAATAACTTTATTTGTATCTGATATAAACAAGGTAACACGGTGCTTCACAGAATCCACAGCAAAAGATGAACTGAAATAAAAGGTTCTCAGTTTAATTTTCCGGCTCAATTAACAACACGTTAAGGTCGAGACATTAACATTTATAGAGAAACCAACAGTTCCCACGATGAGGATGATGTGAGATGCGGTGGAGGTGTGTGATTGGTCAGGAGGAGCACACCTTCCATCCAGGTGACAATAAGTGGACCAGAAACAGTCAGATCTATATTAATAACTTTATTTATATAGCACTTATACAACAAGTTAACAAAGTACTTCAGGAAGTACATGGTACAAAAATATATGATAATAATGCCGCGGCTTAAAGACGTTTAAGAAACTACATAAAATGTAGTAAAGTAAAGTAAGAGCTCAAACATTAAATCAGTTTTTATTTCATCATCTTGTGTTGTGTTGTGTTGTGTTGTTGTGTTGTTGTGTTGCTCCACAAACACACGACGGTTTCTAATGAAAACAAACAGCGTCAGGGCGTCAGACATGGAAATGGTTTGATGAATATTTTAAAGGTAGAATTAAACTCGTGTCATCAATCATTAAAAGAGCTTTTTGATCGATATCAGTACTTTGAGGATTGACAGCGTAGGTTAATTCAAAGTACTTTCCTCAGATTTATACACTTGAGTATATGTCGTTGTAGTTATTTAATGCCTCGGACCAATCCAGCCTTGAATCCTCTGGTCACCTCTTGGAAAGTTCATCAGTTGGTTTTACAGATGAAGTTACGAGGGTGTCAGAGCCGCACGAGGCCTCGAGTTAAATCATCCCGGAACCTTCGCTGTCGCACTAATTCTGTCGCTGAGACAGAGTGAGTGGAGGGAGGCGACCCTTCAAAATAAAACACACTGATGGTTCAAAAAAAGAGACGGATGGGAGCGTAAATGTCAAAAGAAAAAAAGAAAAACGAGACAAGACATAAGAAGAAATAAAATGTCCTTTTACAAACTGTTGTTATTCTCTAAAGTTGTTTTCAGACATCAACTCCAGAAAACGTCTGGAATGTTGAGTCTGGACGTTGTGAAGAAGCCGCAGGAGATTCAAACTCAGAAAGAAAGATCAGTGTTTTTGTTTCATGCACACAGGCACCGGCCCTCATCATCAAAAGCTCCTCGTCTTTCCAAGTTGATGTCTTCGTCTTCTACGTGCACTGCTCCTCTTCTTCAACCTTCACGTCCCGTCATCAACATTTTACTAGAGGGCAGGAAATGATACGTGTGGAGCAACTGACTCACTGACTGTTTAAAAATTCAGGGAGCTCCTCAAATAGTCTTGAAAGTTCTTTATTGGCCTTGAGATGATTAAACTTCCAAAACACTATTAAAGCAACACTTAAGTTTCAAGTGTCGGTTTTGGCTCAGTCACAGGCATGTGTCTGGTTTGGTTTGCGTCGGACTCGGTAGCTTCCTCTCAGGCTCACGCCGAGCGTCTGTTAGAGGTCGTCCGTCTTTGTTTTTCCTCTCGAGGTCAAAAAGTCTGTCGGGGAGTTTTCTGCGGACGACATGACACCAGAGTTGTGAGCAAACAAAACAAAAACCCAATGGAACTCTTCATCTTTCCTGATTCATTGGCCAGTTCTTCAGAATTGGGAGCGTCAGTGCTGATGGGGTCACTCTGCCCTTTTTACGATGTGGTACCCCGCTCAAACAAAAGTTGAGGGCGCTTAAAAATTCTATTATAAGATTGCACAACCTTTCACATTAAAGCTCTTTGCTGAAGATCTAAAATACGACGGACGCAGACGTTTTATTTGTGGGTGAAAAGTGACAGATCCCCACATGATTGTGCTTCCTGTCATGTTTTGTTGCAGAGCACTAATTCACTTCTAGACAGTTGAAATAAGAAAATAAGATTTGAAGTTAATACATGATTATAAATACATATACATTCCACATGTAGAAGTTTTGTGAAGGTTTCTAATCTGTCCATGTTCAGGCAACTAAAACCAGGTCCAAACAAAGACAGGTCGTTCAAAAGTGGCTAATGTTTAATGTGAACATCCAACGATACAAAAGCACATTTAGTATTAAACACTTCACTTTCACTACAAAAACTTAAATCCCTGGATTCTCAATGTTCATAACCTTAAATAGTTTTTTTCCGTCATGACCTCTGAGTAAAATCCAGAGAATTGGCTGCAGAGTTTATCCAGAGTTTTACTTTTAAACACATCGCAGCAGGCACAGATTCTTTAAGTTCTTTTTATTCTTCCGTCTGTTGCATCAACCACTCGCTCACAGTGAATCCGGCCGAGGATCCTCTGCTGTGTTGTCACATCCACTTCTGGATTCACGCGGACT